CGGGCGGTGCAGGCGTGGCCAGGACACGGGAGAAGGGCATGAACAGGATGCCCTCACGGCAGGATGCTGGTGGCCTGCGAGCACGAGGGGGAGGAGCAAGCAGGCGATGCAGATGCACCTGTCACATTTTCTCTCAAAAGCTGGATGACAGGAATGGGACTGCTCAATATTTTTCTTAACGATTTCGTGAAGTCCTCAAGATTTCCTAGCACAACGTAACATACCACCTTCGGCCAGGGCCCAGTGCCATCTCTCACTGGGGCGGGCTCGCGTGTCTTCTGTCTTGTAGCTGTTTGAGGAGCTGCAGGAGCTGCTGAGCCAGGACGCCGAGGACCAGAGCCCCTCGCAGGCCCCGGGGCTGCGCCGGCGGGTTGGCAGCGGGGCGCAAGGTGAGGCCTGCCCCCTGGGATGGGCTCTATGGGAGGCGAGCCCGGGGCCCAGCTGTCTTTCTCTGTCTTCTGAGTATTTTTCTTTTCTTTTTTTTAAAGATTTTATTTATTTATTTGAAGAGAGAGACACAGCGAGAGAGGGAACACAAGCAGGGGGAGTGGGAGAGGGAGAAGCAGGCTTCCCGCTGAGTAGGGAGTCTGATGTGGGGCTCGATCCCAGGACTCCAGGATCATGACCTGAGCCGAAGGCAGATGCTTAACGACTGAGCCACCCAGGCGCCCCTGTCCTCTGAGTATTTTAAGTAGAAGTAGAGCACAGGCACAGGGGCCTGGGGCCATCTTTCAGAGTGTGGCTCAGGCCCAGCTGTGCAACCTCAATCTCGCCATCTCTAAAATCAAGGGCGGTCGACAAGTTCTAGTTCACTGGCTACAAGTACAGACGTGCACACAGAGGACCCTCAGGAGTCATGGGCAGAGCCTCTTTTTGTGTGCGTGCGGAGCCCAACGTGGGGCTTGAACTCACGACCCTGAGGTTGTGGCCTGAGCTGAGATCAAGAGTCGGATGCTCAACCGACTGAGCCATCCAGGTGCCCCATGAGCCTCTTAATTTAGATGCTTTTTTTCGGCCCTTTCATGGTTCCTGAGCAGAGACCACCTGATGTGGGGCAGGGTGGCTGGGAGCGGTTCTAGCTGTTACCGTGCCATGGGACACTGGGAAGACAAGGAACCCCTGGGTCTCATTGCACGTCAGTCCCTCCCTCATGTGCCTCGGAGAGGGACATGTGCTGAGAGGATATCTGGAAAACTTCCAGAAAGACCAAAGTGCTCCACGAAATATACCCTCACCGAGCCTGACACACGGTTGGGCGGGATTGTGGCTCGGGGCCGCGGGGGGGGTGGGCAGGGGAGACGGTGAACAGAGAGGTGAAGCCCAGCTGCCTGCTTGGCAGGTTACTGAGGCCTTTGCTCCTGGAGCCACTCTCCCCCACCTGCCCTGTGGCTTCCCCCCCTGAGCTGGGACCACGTGGAACCCTCTGTTGGTGGAATTGTGCTTGGGAACTTGGGAAGGAGGCCAGTCCTGATGGGATGGGATGAGCTACCTGGTAGGGGGGAGGGGTCTTTACCCTCACACAGTGTGGGCCCCTTGAGTGCTCCTGGAGGGTGTGTTCTCCCAACGTGGGCTGGCTGAAAATGGAAAAGTGGACAGCTTAGAGAAGTAGTAAGCTCCCTGTCTTTGGAGGTATCCAAGCAGTGGCCAGAGGGCTCCCTGTCTGCGCTAGCAGAATCCTGGCATTGAGCAGGGACTGTCCTAGAGACTGCTGAGGCCCTTTTGCTGTGTTTTTCTGTGACCTCCCATACGCCCCACCTCTGTCCACCTGTTGGTGACATTGCACCCCTCTCTCTTTCAGACTCGACTCCCACGGAGACTCCGAGAGGGAAGCCCCAGCTCAGCCTTCTCTCCCAGGCACCGCTCCTCCGATGGGTCCTTACGCTCAGCTTTCTAGTGGCAACAGTTGCTGTGGGGCTTTATGTCATGTGAATGCAAGGGCGCTGGCTCCTTACGCTGTGAGCTGTGTCCAGTGGACGGCCCGCTTTCTGGAGAGGGAATATCTCTTGGCTGGCTTCCTTACCTTAGGCATGGGGGGCTCTCTGTGCCCCCCACCCTGTCCCTGCATCCCTGTCTTTGGAAAGGGAGTCTGTGACATCATCTTCCCCAACCAAAAGCACATCCAGCTCACGGACACGAACTTCCAAAATGGGATGAGCATCCTGCCTGGCCCCTCAGCACTCCCAGTTCCTGCAGCAGAGCCCAGAAGACATGGCCAGAAGTGGCAGCTGTCTTGAACCTCCAGATGCCCTGGGTCCATGGTCTCCTTGACATGCCATGACCGCCTTCTCTGTGGGCCGTGGCGAGTTTCATATCTATGTGCAACAGTGTTGTGTCTTGTGTTTGTCTTGTTTCTGTTGGAGCCACTCTTTGTTCCTGGCTCCACCTGAACTGTGGTATTTTGTTATGTTCTGTTTTTATAGCAGAGTTGGGGTGAGTTTTGGGGGTGGGGTGGGGAGGGAGGTGTTTAACAACACTGTGGCCTTGACCTCTAACTTTTGTGTGAAATAATAAACTTCAGTGCCTGATAGTAACTGGAAGTGTTTTTCTTGGGCTCTGTTACCCTTGGGGAGCTGAACGTTTCCCCGTTTGTCTCTTGAATGCCTGGTGGGGAGAACGGGTGAAGTGGAGGTGAAAGGGACCGGTTTCGGATGCTGGTCTCCGTTCTGAGGATGTGGGGGGTGAGCTTTGGGCAGCTGGTGTGTGAATCTTTGTGTTGAACCTTGTTTGATGCAAGACTCAGCTTTACTGAGGATGGCATTGCCCTGTTAGGCTCAAATGAGCCGATTCTGGGATAAAATTTACTTAGTGGATACAGTGAGTCTTTGGGACTCCAGTGAGATCCCTGGGTTCCAATCCCTGCCACTCTGCTTTGTAGCTCTGCCTTTGAGGTTAGTTGTTAACCTCTCTGGGGCTCAGTTCTGTCACCTGTAACATGAGTACAGTGAGACCTATCTCACCTGCTTGTCTTGAGGAGCAAATGAGATGCAGGTAAAATGCCAACACTGGACCACATGAGTTCCTATTATGAAATGAGGGTGATCGGGGGTTTGTGATTTTTGCTAAGTGATTTTTGTGCTGTGAGTGTGAGTCACTTCCCCTATGTCCCCTCATTTAATGCTCACAGCAAACCCGTGAGGGGTGCTACCACTCTGGGGGGCAGGAAGGATGTAAACCAGATCTGGGCAGCTCTAAAACCCTGTCCTAAGTCATGAAAGCCACTGAACTATTAATAGTGCAGCTTCCCAATCTGGGCAAGTGAAAACCCACCCTGAAGGTGGGAAAGCAGAAGAGAAAGTGTTTCCTTAACACCACTAGTACCTGAGGATTGGGAGTCAGGAGAGCTTTGTGCCCAGTCCTGGCTTTGTCACCAAGTCTGGAACCTTGGACAAGTAAGTCACTCGTCTCCTTCTGTTCACTGGCAAAATGAAAATAATACACCTACCTCCCACAGCCGGTGGAGGGCCCAGGGGTATCTAAATGCCAGTGCATGGCTGGTGGCGTCAGAATCACTGGGGGATCTTGGGCCCCACCCTGAGAGGTTCTGAGTCTGGAGACCTGGGGCAGGACTCTGGGATCCTGTTTGTGAAAAGTTCCCTGAGAGATTCCAAAGTGCAACCAGGCCCAGGAGCCACAGGTTATGAGATTCTGTTTGCCAAGAGCAGGCACTCAAATTGCTGCAGCTCTTCCCACCCTAAGCCTACTTCCCAGCTTTCTGTGAAAGGGATGTCAATGTTCATTACTTGTAGTGATAAAGAAAGGAAAGGAGGGAGGGGAGAGACAGAGAAACAAACCACCTTGATTCTACTAATAGGAAAATGGCCCGATAGTCTGTATTCTATTCACACTATGGAGAATCAGCTGTTAAATACGATGAGTCGCGCGCCTGGCTGGCTCAGTCCCCAAAGCATGCAACTCTTAATTTCGGGATCCTGAGTTCGAGTCCCACGTTGGGTGTAGAGAATACTAAAAAAATAAAAAAATAGGGGCGCCTGGGTGGCTCAGTCGTTAAGCGTCTGCCTTCGGCTCAGGTCATGATCCCAGGGTCCTGGGATCGAGCCCCGCATCGGGCTCCCTGCTCCGCGGGAAGCCTGCTTCTCCCTCTCCCTCTGCCTGTCTGCCTACTTGTGATCTCTCTCTCTGTCAAATAAATAAATAAAATCTTAAAAAAAAAAAATAAAATAAAAAAAAATAAAAAAATCAAAAAATAGGATGAGTTAAGTCTGTTCCGTCCTCAGAGGAACCTCCACGAAGTATTAATAAGAAAAGCAAGTGTCAGATTCATTTGTGTTTTATACACTGTAAAAATACACGCATTTTACATACTCGGCGTGAATGTTTCCATGACTGTGGCCAAGGGGATAAAGAATTTCCAGTTGTTCCTCTTCGAGAGTGGGAATGGAAAAGAAGGGAAGAGAGATGGAGAACGCTGAGTTTTGCCAAATCTTTCTCTTTTTCAAGCTAGGTTGGGTGTCTGGTCGTGAATTTTCGCAGATTTTAAGCATTGCCAAGTAATGAGAAATCTACAACGAAAAAAGGTATCACCCTTTGGGTCTAAGAAAACATCCTTGAGTCGCAAGGATGGACGATTTCGGGCCCAGAGAGGACTTATTTCTGACTCATCTCCGACGTCGGGAGGGTGTGTGACAGGGAGGGCTGGGCGCAGGGGGCAGCGGGCTCCCGCCGGGAGCGACGACGACTGCTGGAGCCCCCAGGTCTTCCGGGCCCTGGCTCTGCAGGCGGCCATTTTCCCAGAAGACTTGTAAAAAGGCTCGAGGGGTGTACACGGAGAGCCCTCGCGCGCACTCGCCGCCCGGGCCCGGGAGGCTTCCCCGCCGCCATCTTTGCGCCCGCCGCGCCGCCGCTTCCTCCCCGGTCGGAAGTTTCGCGCCAAATTGTCCGGCCTGCAAAATGGAGCCTGGAAGGCGGCCAGGGGCATGACGTCATGCGCCCCGCAGCCAATCCGCTCCGGTGGTCTGCCCGGGAGGCGGTGCTCGCGGGCGCAGAGCGGTCCAATCGCTGGCCGCGGGACCCCGGCGAGCCAATCGGGGCGCAGCGCCTGCGGCGCCCGGACGCGGCGTCTCGTTTTTCCCGCGAAACTCGGCGGCGGAGCGCGGACGTCCTTGTGTGCCTGGACGTGCGGGAGCGGGGAGGTGAGGCCGGCGGGTCTGGCGGGGTGAGGGCCGCGGAGTGTGCAGGCGTCCGCACTTGAGGGCGCAGCAGGGTGGGCAGGGTCTCTCTTCCGGGAGGGCCGGGGTCCCCCCGCCCCGCGTTGGGAGCGAGCCCCCGGCCTGCTCCAGCTGTTTGTCCCCGCGCCAGGCGCAGTCATGTCGGGCTTCGACGACCCCGGCATCTTCTACAGCGACAGCTTCGGGGGGGACACCGCGGCCGACGAGGGGCAGGCCCGCAAATCGCAGCTGCAGAGGCGCTTCAAGGAGTTCCTGCGCCAGTACCGAGTGGGCACCGACCGCACCGGCTTCACCTTCAAATACAGGTGCGGGCTGGGGCGGGCTGGGGCGGGCCCGGAGGGAAGGTGGGCATGCACTCGCCCGGGTGAGGAGCAAGCACACCCGGTGCGAACACGCGTCTGCACCCAGAGCCTTCTAGTGTCCTGGAGCACGACGGGGACACGGCGCAGAGAGGTGAAGGAGCCTGTCCTAGGTCTGAGGATTTGGGTCCCAGCCGAAGCTTCATCCTGGCCGCGCCAGTGTGATATTTGGCTTTGTACATTTTATACCTGAAGTTAACTTTTGAGTGGCCACCTGTTGAGTGGGCCCCTAATAACCATCTAGAAGTTCTTGGGCCCTTTGGTTCTTTATCCAGGACTCGCTCTTCACTTCCTCCTTGTTGTTGTCCTGTGTCCTGTCTCTGTGATGCCTCCTGAACTCAAGTTCTCTGCGTGTGCAGAAGGTGAAGATGGTTGTCAGGATTTATTTCACTTACGCGTCCGTTCCAGTCTTGCAACTGCTGTTGATCAGCACCTGCCGTGTGCCAGGCACTGTTCAGGTGCTGGGCTAACCACTGAACCCGCTCTTAGTCATTGTCTAACCTGTGGCATCATGCCAAATCCTCGTAGGCCCAGCCTCTCTCCCTAGCGCCTTAAAATGCAGAGAAAGGTGAACTTGTGGGTCCAGGCTTGGGCGCGGCCAATTATTAGCTGAATGACTTCCAAGTAACAGACTCTCTGTGTCATCAGTAAATGGACGTCGGCAGTTCTGCCTCCCGTTTATTCATGTACCAGCTGACGTTGGCCATGTGTGTGCCAGGCATTGTGTCTAGGCACTGAGATACGGAGATGAAGAGACTCCGTACTCCTCACTCTTTAGAAGCTCAGAGGTCAGTGAAGCTCCTGAGTCTGGGGGCAAGGCATGAGGTCAAGAGATAAATTACAAGGTGACAGTTGCCTCAAAGGAGGAACATGAGGGAGGGCTTCCAGAGGAGCCCAAGTTGACCCTCGGCTGAGAGAAGAGTTTCAGGTGTGGAGGGCATTTCCGATAGGAGCAGTTGCATGTCTGGGTGGAGAGGTATGGGTGGCCTGTTAATAGCAAGGTGCTTTCTGGGCCAGGATGGCCATTTCGTGTGGCCCTGGCACATAAGGTCGGAGGGGATAAGGTCTGAGATGAGTCTGAGGAGAGGCCTCTGCGTAGCATAGGTCAGTGGTCCCTAAGTGTGTTTTGGGACAATAGTCCCATGGGATGCTCTGTAAAAAGTCTATCTGGTGGTTGATAAGACAGACACACTGTTATCTGTGGTCTCCAAGTTTGAGCCTTGTGCTTTGTTAGTCTCTGAGAGAAACTAAAAGGCACCAGGGGGTCCTGCAGGGAAAGAACGGAGTCTCCCAAACTGACCTGTGCACACAGCCCTGTCTTTACGTGTTGAAATCGCCTTCAACCATCTTGTGGACTGTTTCCACGGAGCTGTTTTTGGAGGATGCTTCTATGGGCAGCTGGGAGCCTCCGCAGGGTTATGTCACAGAGTCGCCTGGAACTCGATGTGTGTTTGGGGAGAGGAGTGGGAGTAGTGGTGGCAATGGTGTGGGCAAATTTGGGGTGCAGGTGCACTTCAGCCAGTGTTGATTTCCTCTTCTCTGCACCCTGCCCTGCCCCCACCCTGCTACCTGCCCACACCAGGGATGAGCTCAAGCGCCATTACAATCTGGGGGAGTACTGGGTCGAAGTGGAGATGGAGGACCTGGCCAGCTTCGACGAGGACCTGGCCGACTACTTGTACAAGCAACCGGCCGAGCACTTGCAGCTGGTGAGTGGGACCCCATCCTTGAATCCCCCAGGTTCCTGGTCCTGTTCTGGTCACCAACAGTTGTCGCCTTCCTCTTCTCCAGCTAGAGGAAGCTGCCAAGGAGGTGGCTGATGAGGTGACCCGGCCCCGGCCCACGGGCGAGGAGGTGCTCCAGGACATTCAGGTCATGCTCAAGTCGGATGCCAGCCCGTCCAGCATTCGTAGCCTCAAGGTGGGTCCACTTAGAGGCTGGTCGGAGGGTGACGGTGGCTGCTGCATGGTGTGTAGGAGCTTCAGGCCCCGGCCAGACCTGAGTGCCAGCTGTGTGACCGTGAGCAGCTCACTCAGCCTCTCTGAGCCCATTTCTTCCCCCTAAAATTAACTCACTGGACAAGTGAGTTCCTCCTGTTGGCAAGGCGTTGAGTCAGGTCATGGAGAAACAATGTTGAACTAAACAACAAGTTCCTGTTCTTGTGAACTTTATATCCTCCCAGGAGGTGTGTGTGGGAGGAAACCTGAGTAAACCAGTGAATGTCACCCGTGATGGTTGTAGATGATCGTAAGTGCAGTGGAAGAAATTGGGGTCGGGGGGTGGCCTTCTGGGAAAGACAGAGAAGGCTTCCTTGGTGGAGAACCACCTGAGCGGGCAGACAACTGGGAGAGCACCCCAGGGAGGCGGAGGATAGCCCTTGCAAAGCCTGAGGGGCGAGGAGGGCTTGGTTATGTTCAAGGCTGTGTTGAAGAACAGCCAGCGTGGCTAAAGAGTGATTGGGAAGCAGGAGGGGTTGGCAGAGCCAGCTGTCATCCAGGTGTTTGTTTTCTTAAAGGTTTTATTTATTTATTTGAGAGCCAGTGCAAGCGAGCATGAGCGTGGGGGGGAGGAGCAAGGGAGAGAGACAAGCACACTAGATTCCCCACTCAGCACAGAGCTCGGAGTGGGGCCTGATCATGACCTGATCCTGAGCTGAAAGCAAGAGTCAGTCGTCCAATCGACTGAGCCACCCACGGTGCCCCAGGTGTTGATTTGTTTTAATCAACAAATACTAAAGGCTGCTACGCCCCAGGTGCTGGGCTAGACCCTGACTATAAACAGACGGGACTTGCTTCTCACAGAGCTTATGAGGGGAGAACCAGGTAAGGGACATTGTGATGGCTTCAGGAGCCATGTACAGTCATGAAGAAAAGAGAAGAACGAGCTAAACGTGACAATGGCCGAGGGAGGTAGATGGTGGTCAGAAGAGGCCTCTGATGAAGTGATGTTGGAGTGAGTCTGAGTGATGCGTCGTCAGCTGCATGACAGCCCAAGGGAAGAGCATTCCAGGCTCCGGGAGAAGCAGGTGCAAAGGCACTGAGGTACAGACAGTGGCATGCTTCATGGAATAAGAAGTAGCCAGTGTGACCGGACCCCAGTGAGCGTGAGGGTTGGGGGAAGGGGGGAAGAGGCCTGAGGGCCAGGGCCTCTCCAGCCATGGGAAGGAGCTTGGATTCTATAGGAAGCACAGTAGGAAAGCAGCAGATGTTTAAGTAGAATGGGCCGATTCCATCTGCAAACAGTCCCTCTGGCTGCCATGTGGAGAATTGATAAAGTAGCAGGAGAGCAGTGAGCAGGAAGTGATGCTGGTCAGGACGTTAGTGGTTGTCGCAGGGCTCTTGTTAGAATCTAGGCAAGTGATGCGCATGCCTGTGCTCTGCACGCTCCACAGTGGGGCCCGAGTGTCACCCACTGAGCTAATGGCACCTCCTGGTCATGTGTTGCACCCAGAGGGCATGCTGTGGTCTTTGCTTGTGTCCCCACATCCTGCAGCTCTTTTGGGGCCCCTGTCAAGCTGCCTTTGTTTTGCACTAGAAAAAGATTTTCTAGAAGTGTGGGGTTTTTTTTGTTTTTGTTTTTAAATTAAGTAGGCTCCACGCCCACTGTGGGGCTTGAACTCAAGACCCTGAGATCAAGAGTCACATGCTCTTCAGACTGAGCCAGCCGGGCACCCCAGAAAAAGAGATTTTTATCATAATCTCCGTTGTCCCTGTCTCCCTTTAACCAACCATGCTCTTTTTTTTTTTTTTAAAGATTTTATTTATTTATTTGAGAGAGAGAGAATGAGAGAGAGCACATGAGAGGGGGGAGGGTCAGAGGGAGAAGCAGACTCCCCGCCGAGCAGGGAGCCCGATGCGGGACTCGATCCCGGGACTCCAGGATCATGACCTGAGCCGAAGGCAGTCGCTTAACCAACTGAGCCACCCAGGCGCCCACCAACCATGCTCTTGATGGCTCTGTTGCAGTCGGACATGATGTCGCACCTGGTGAAGATCCCTGGCATCATCATCTCGGCGTCCGGGGTCCGCGCCAAGGCCACCCGCATCTCCATCCAGTGCCGGAGCTGCCGCAACACGCTCAGCAACATCGCCATGCACCCGGGCCTGGAGGGCTACGCCCTGCCTAGGAAGTGCAACACGTGAGTGGGCCTTGCCGGGCCCAGCGGCTGGGGTGGGGGGGTGACGTCTGGGGGGAGATGGGAAGGGGGAGGGCCGGCCTGCAGCAGGGCATGTGTCCCATGGGAGTGGCACAGGCCCGTGCGCTGGGGCTCAGGGCTGGTGTCCTCCATTGGCGAGTTCTGTCCCCACCAGGACTCCCAGACAACCTTTGTGGGGAACCCAGGGTTGGGAGGGAAAAGCAGTCCAGCGGAATGAGTCTGTCTGGAGGCTTGCTGGGGTGGCCGGCCCAGGAACACGGCAAGCTTGTGCATTTACACATTGCCATGGACCACGTTTGCTCTGCAGAGGCGGGGAGTATATGGCCTCTTGGCTCCTAAGACCGAATGTTTGCTCTCTGGCCCCTTAGAGGAAATGAGCTCCACCCTTGATCTGAAGGCCCCGCCCCCTCTCTCAGGCTGCTCCTTGGCCTCTGTGGTCCCCCTCAGCTTCCTGACCTAAATGTTGCAGTGCCCCGGGGCTTAGCTACGCTGCTTTCTTTCTGCACTCGCTCCCTGGGTGATCTCGGGCTTTAAAGATGGTCCACATGCAGAGGACGCTCACACATGTGTCTCCCCTGAACTCCAGGGTCGGATCCGGCTGCTGGCCGGCAGCCAGGTATCCCCATGTAGGTGTCCAGTGGACATTGCAGATTTGAACGCACCCCACACGGACCTGACCTCCATCCCACCCCCAGATCTCCCCTTCCACAGACCCTCCCCTGCACCCCAGATGGAAACACCATCTTTTCAGGTGCTCAGGCCCAAATCCTTGGTCTCAGAGTGTTTCTTCCTACTTGCATCTAGACAACTGAGAAGTCCTTTTGGCTCTGCTCCTGAGATTGCACGTAGAGAATCAGGCCCTTTCTCACCACCTGGGCACGTCTGCCTTGCTCCATGCTGTTGTTCTCCCTCACTTGGAGTGGTCGTCCCCCAGTCTCTTCTCCACCCCGCAGCTGGTGGAGAGGACTCTTTGTCCTGCAGGTGACCCAGTCATTTCCACGTCATCCAAAGTCAGGCGCTGTCCTGGCGTGCACGGCCCTCCGTGGTCCTCCTCCCTCTCTCACTGCCTCCCTCCTCTTCCTGCGATCACTGAGCACACTTCTGGCACAGAGCCTTTGAACGTGCTCTTTCCTCTGCCCTCTGCAGTCCTCGGTCTCACTTCCGTCAGCTTTCTCTTATGTCACCTCCCAGAGGTTCCTCCATCTTACACTCGGTGCACGCATACCCTGTCACTCTTCCCCACCCACCCGACAGCATGGGGCACTGCTGTCATTCTGTCACTCAGCCATTTGTTGGCTGGTTTTTTCAGTCTCCCCGGCGGCCCCTGACTAGAATGTGAGCTCTGTAAGAGCAGGGACTTCTGTTGCCCCTGGGTCCCTGGTCTGTAGAACAAGGTCTGGCATGGAGTGAGTGCCCTGCAGTAACACTGCTATGGTAGTTGAACTTGACTTCATTACATGGAGGTAAAAAGAGGCCTAGACCCTGAGAATGGTCTGTAGGTGCCCAGACCCTCACCACGAGATCCTGGGATTTGAGTGGGGGTTTCGTGAGGTCATTGGTGATTTGGCCCCTCTCCCTGTGGGGACACTGAGACCTCATGGGGGTTGAGAGTGTGACTTGTCTGTGTCCCATAAATTAATGGAGGAGCCAGGCCTGGAGCAGACCTCCCCACTCCTGATCTGGCTCATGGTCCCCCACAGAGCTGCCCTCCTTTTAAGGGCCTTGTTCAGCTTATCCCAGAGACCCTCAACTTGCTGCTGGCCGGATCTTGTCGCCGACTCCTGGGATGGACTCCCTGGGCTTTGGGTTCTCAGGGGAGCTCTGGTGACCCTTTCTCCTCCCCACCCCCGTACAGGGATCAAGCCGGGCGCCCCAAATGCCCACTGGACCCATATTTTATCATGCCTGACAAGTGCAAGTGTGTGGACTTCCAGACTCTCAAGCTGCAGGAGCTGCCTGACGCAGTGCCTCACGGCGAGATGCCCAGACACATGCAGCTCTACTGTGACAGGTGAAGCAGGCAGGGGCCGGGGCTGGGGCTGGGCATCCGCGGGGGCGGGTGGCCCTGGCCGAGGCCCGGTGAGCACGGTGGGAGGAGAGGAAGGCCCGGTTGGCAACACTTGGTTCACTGGAACACCGGTGCTTCCCGTACATTTCCGCTCGCTCCGTCTTCCCGAAATCAGCAAGGCACGTAGCCCCCGCTGTGCAGTTCCAGAGCGCCCTGGAACTCTTGAGAGGTTGATGGCTTCGTGAGCTTGGAGCCCGGGCCCTACCCGGAGAGTCCCTACAGCTGCAGCTCGGAGAGCCTCTGCTTGTCTGATGCCGCTGCCCCGCCTGTGCCCGGGCTTTCTGATAACATCGTTCCTTGGATTTTGCTGACCAGTTGGGAAGGAGGAGAGGTGCTCGGCTGGGGTCTGGTCCTCTCGTGGCCACCTGGGAGGAAGGCTTGGAGATGTGACCGGGGTGCCACAGCTGGATGTGCTTGCAGGTGTTCTGTGCTGCGTGTTTTCCTGAGGAGTGGGTCCAGAGCTTTTGTTAGCTTTGTCAGTGACGGTGGAAACGTGGAGGAGCCAGACAGGAGCAAGTTACATGAGCCGGCGAAGGCTCGGTTTCCTCAGCAGTAAAACGGGCGTGATGACCATCCTTAATCTCTAGTTAGGCTGCTGGGAGATGTTAATTGGAAAATGCACGTGTTTCGTACTGGTCTTTAATACGAATTAAGTACTTGATGTTTGTTAGGTTATTCTCCAGGTAGTCTAGTCTAGACGTAAGAGGTGGTATATGGGAAGGGGCTCCTGGGAGGAGGCTCAGTCCTTTAAGTGACCGACTCCTGATTTCGGCTCAGGTCATGACCTCAGGGTCGTGAGATCGAGCCCCGTGTTGGGCTCCGCACTGGGCATGGAGCCTGCTGAAGATACTCTCTTCCCATCTCCAAAATAAGAAAAACAAAGTGGTGCATGGGAAGGGGCGCCCTAGGATCCTCTCAGGGCTGAAACTGTGACAGTGACGCTCCTTTGTGGGATGTGACTCTGGCATGTAAAGCACGTGTGGTCTGTTTCCTCACTTGATCCCACTATATGAGCAGGTCCGGTTACTCTGTCGCTGCCCCCTCCCCTTCCCTCAAGCTCAGAGAGGTACGGTGACTTCTTTGAGGTCACGCAGCTTCTAAATGGCAGAGTGCAGATGCATGCACCAGTGTCCCTTCTGTGCCACACTGGTTCTCACTGGAGCGACTTGGAGACTCCTTGTTGCAGTGTCTTAGTTTTGAAAAGAGGACGTGGACGTCCAGAGGCAGGATGTACCCGAGCTCGTGGAGCCCCGAAGAGGCAGAAGTGGTGGTGGGGGGGCCCTTGCAGAGAGGCCAGGGGGCCTGAGGAGGAAGGCTTCCCCCGAGTTGGCCAAGGGGAGCCCCGTGGCGAGTCTGGCAGCATATATGGGGATGTGGCTTCTGAAGGCTGGGGTGGCTAGCACCAAGCCTCTCCTGGGGCCCCAACCGGCAAAACAAAAGAGCCCTTGAGGGCAGGGAAGGGTCAGGCCACCACCACGAGCAAGGGTGCTGAGCACCATCCTGTAGGCAGCTGAGCCATGCATGCTTGGAGGGGGGCCCTGAGGGATGGAGAGATCTGGAGTACAAATGCTAAGGTGGACTGTGAGTGTGACAGTGTGGGTGAGAGGGTCAGGGATTCGCTGTCCCCCCCCAGGCTCTCACTTTGTTTCTCCCTCCTCCCTGTCTCTTCAGGTATCTGTGTGACAGGGTTGTCCCTGGGAATAGGGTCACCGTCATGGGCATCTACTCCATCAAGAAGTTTGGCCTGACCTCCAGCAGGGGCCGTGACAGGGTGGGTGTGGGCATCCGGAGCTCCTACATCCGTGTCCTGGGCATCCAGGTGGACACAGATGGCTCTGGTGAGTTGGCTTTGGGGCCCGGCTGTGCTGTACCCTGGGCTGAGCCCCTGCCGTCTCTCTCTGGGATTATGGTCAGGCCTCCTGGTCTCCCTGTCCCCACCCTTCCTAGTGGTCCCTGAGGGCCTCTACGATCTGGCCCTCCAGCTCCTTACACCCCCCTTCCCCTCACTCCCTGGATGGTGAGCACAGGCCCACTCCTGGCAGGGAGACCTGGGCTCTGTCTCCTCAGGCTTATGCCATCTGGGCTCTGAGGCCCTGCCTTGCAGGGAGCCCTGACCTGGCTGGGCAGGGTCTGCCTCACACAGCACTCACGTGCCCTCCCTCCCTGGCCCACCCAGGCCGCAGCTTTGCCGGGGCTGTGACCCCTCAGGAAGAGGAGGAGTTCCGACGCCTGGCCGCCCTCCCCAATGTCTACGAGGTCATCTCCAAAAGCATCGCTCCATCCATCTTCGGGGGCACAGACATGAAGAAGGCCATCGCCTGCCTGCTGTTTGGGGGTTCCCGAAAGAGGTGGGGTTCCAGTCCCACCAGATCTGGGGTGGGGGTGACTTGGCCCATAGGAGGATGGCCGCCAATGGTCAGGACTTGAATGTTCTCATTTTCCTGGGACCCTCAGCCTTGCCTGCTACTTCCAGGTCCTTTCCCCTACTCTGAGGCTTGCTGTCAGCCGGCTAGTGGCTAATCCATGCTCTCCTACCCGGAGGGATCCCCTCACCCGAACTAGGGGTGGATGGGGGAGGGGGGCCAGCAGCTGCAGTGGGGAGAGCTCTGGGCTTGGAGACTGGAGACCAGAGATTAAATCTCTGCCACTTTTTCCTGTGTGACCTTGGGCGAGAGACACTCCCTCTCTGGACCCAAGTTTCCATGGGAACAGGGCAGGTGAGAACCTGGTCCTCGCAGGACAGCGCATGTTGTGTTGAAACAAGAAAGTAGTAGAGCTAGAGAAGATAATGTTATTAGTAGCTACCACATACTGGGCCTCACTGTGCACCCGGCCTTCTTGCAAGCGCTTTCGTGTGTCTGACACCCAGCCAGCCCTCACAGTCACCCTCAGAGGAAGGTCTGACCAAGTCCACTTTGGAGGTGAGGAAGTTGAGGCATGGAGAGCGAAAGGGACTTGCTGAGAGGCACATCAGTGGGGCCAGGATCCTGCCCGTCTGGTGCCGGTCGCACTGTGCTGTGCACGGGCTGCTGGGGGCCCCCCCCCTCCTTTCCAGCCACAAGGGCTATCTGATCAGACCCTTAGCGTGTGTGCCCCGGCCCTGAGTGCCATGTTCTTGGCTGTCCCTGGCCTGGAGGCAAGTTCTCTCCTCCATCGTTACCACGGGTGCGGCTGGGGACACGGCTGTGAACGAGGGTCTCAGCCCAGAGCCCCCGCCTGCCTGCGGCACCGAGGCTTGTGATGCGGGTTGTGGGCCCCACTGCCAGCCCTCCCCGTGACCGGCCTGAGTCCCAGCCTGGCCCACCTGCCTGTCCTCCCCCAGGCTCCCCGATGGACTCACCCGCCGAGGAGACATCAACCTGCTGATGCTGGGGGACCCGGGCACGGCCAAGTCCCAGCTGCTAAAGTTTGTGGAGAAGTGTTCCCCCATAGGGGTGAGTGCCTGGGGACATGCCGCTCCGCTCGGCTGCCCCCTTAGGAGGGCAGGCTGCAGCCCAGGCTACCTGGTCCCTGGGCTTTCCGTGGTGGGCTGGCTCACCAGAGTCTCTTCCTCGTTCTTCTTGGCTGTGGGTCAGGATGGCACAGAGAGGAGGAAGGGGACCAACAGGTGTGGGGTGGTTTGGGGCGGTGGGTGGAGTGCGGCCCAAAAGGCGGCGTGGGCTTTGAGTCTCAGCCTGGCCAGTAGCTAGCTGGCTGCCGGCCTTGAGCGGGTTGCCTCATCTCCCTGTCCCTGAGACTCCGTTTATCCACCTGCTAAATTATGACATCAGTCAGCACCTGAAGATCAAGGACCAGGCACTGCTTGCAGCGCATTGCTTTGGTTTACTGGCCTAACGTTGCGCTCACTGTGCGGTGGGTGCTGTGACCCCTTTAAATAAAGGAGGAAACTGGGGTACAGAATAGCTCAGTCTTGCCCAGGGTCCCACAGCGAGTAAGTGCAAGCACAGGGATTTGACCCCGAGTGTGTGGTTGGTGGGGTCCTCTGTGCAGTGATCGGTGGGCCTGGGGGCTCAGAGTGGGGCGAAGATGACCCAGCAGGACAGGGCTGTGTGGGGGGAGGTGTGGTCGGGGGGATCAGAAGTGCCAGGTGTTCATGCCATAGCCGCGTGATAGAGACCCACGGGTGCTGCTATATGGGCCATGGGGGTGGTGTCCCGTTTTCTGGCTGCCCTGGTTAAAAACTAAAAGGAGCAGATGAAATTAATTATTTTATCTGAGGTGTTACTGTTTTAGCCTATAGGTTAATAGAACACCACGGCATGCTTTACGTTGTCTTTCTTGAAGCGCTGTTGAAGGCGTGTGTGTTTTACACTCTAAGCCCACCACAACTTCCTCACCTCCAACTTCCTCACCCACTTGCCAGGGTGGCGGCTTGTGGTGCGTGGGTCTGTACAAAGACGACAAGGGACTGGGGAGGGGGACGCTTCTCCTTAGGAGTCAGGAGTCCCCATCCCGGCCCTCAGGCCTCCTGGAAGTGTGGCATTCCTCTCCTCTGGGCCGCAGTTTGCTCATCTGAGAGCGGGCCCGAGCGCTGCTTCACAGGGCTGTGGTAGGGCTCAGCTGACCGTGGACGTGGACGCCCCCTGGGGGAGAACCTCCAGGCCAGACCGGTGCCCAGGGCGGCCTTCCCACCCGAAGGGAGGAGCACGGGTTCTATTCTGGGCTCGGCAGCCAGCTTTGATGCGTGACCTTGGGCAAGCCACATCAGTCTGGGTCCTTGACTCACTGGAGCTGGGTGATGTCCTGATGCCACCCTCCCCTCCCCCATCCCCCAGGTGTACACCTCTGGGAAAGGCAGCAGTGCGGCCGGCCTGACAGCCTCAGTGATGAGGGACCCCTCGTCCCGGAACTTCATCATGGAAGGCGGAGCCATGGTCCTGGCTGATGGGGGGGTCGTCTGTATTGACGAGTTTGACAAGGTGGGTCTGACGGTGAGGTGGTGGCCGAAAGGTGGGTGGCACCTTGTGGTCATGGGGCCGAAGGTGTGGCCTCCTGGGCTGGGACAGCAGAAACTACCTCTGACTTGGAGACTGGTGTTCGGTCCTGGGCCTGTCATTAGAGGGAAGTAGTTGAACCTCTTTGAGCCTCAGTTTCCCTATCTGGAGAGAGGGGAGAGGAGAGCCAAGCCCACCTGGCTCACTGTCACCAGGGTGAGAGGCCACCTGATTCCTGCCATGGGCCAGGCGTAGAGTCGGGACTTGGGACCAGTCGCTACTGTAGGTCTCCGGCTGCCCAGCTCTCCCGCCCCCTTGCCCAGGCCTCACAGACGTTTCTGCCCCACACAGATGCGGGAAGACGACCGAGTGGCGATCCACGAGGCCATGGAGCAGCAGACCATCTCTATAGCCAAGGTGCGCGGCTGCCGTCCGGCCTGGCCCGGCCACGTGGAGGGTGCTGGCCCGGGGCCGCGATCGGGCCCTGGGCTGGGCCCGGTTTGCCCCGGTCTCTGCTGGCTGCAGCAGCCGGCCTGTGCGAGCGTGTGCATGGGAGAGACTCGTGTGTACGTGGGAGACACGCGTGCCCAGGGTCTCATCTCTCTTGTCTGCTCCCCTCTCTCTGCCTCTCAGGCTGGGATCACCACCACCCTCAACTCCCGCTGCTCCGTCCTGGCTGCCGCCAACTCGGTGTTCGGTCGCTGGGATGAGACGAAGGGGGAGGACAACATCGACTTTATGCCCACCATCTTGTCCCGCTTTGACATGATCTTCATCGTCAAGGACGAGCACAATGAAGAGAGGGATGTGGTGCGTCTGGAGCTGGCTGGGGCTGCGGGAGCCAGGCCCACAGTTCTGGGGGAGGGTAAACAAGGGGCTTGGCCCAAAGTCCTGCCCGTCAGACTTGCCTGTAAGCAGGCAGCCCAGGGCGGGGTGGGGAGGGGGGGCGGCTACGGCCTGCAGGGAACGCTGGACTAGGGGTCCAGAGTCCTGCCTCCTGCCGGGGCTGTGCTGTGCAGTTGGGTAAATCATTCTCTCCCTGGGCCTCAGCGCCTTGTATACGAAACAGGGGAGTTGACCTTTGCAAGTGGTAGAACCCCAGCTCCGGTCAGAACGTCTCTGGAAGGAACAGAATGGCTTATGTAATGGGCAAGCCTAGAGGTGTGAGGCCCACCTGGATCCGGGGCTCGATGGCCCCAGAGCTCTCTGTTTCTGCCCCTCCGCTCTGCCTCCCTTGCTGGAGACCTATTCTCAGGTAGCTGATCTCCTTATGGCGGCAGATAAGGCCCTGGCAGCTGTGGGATTTTGTCTAATCAGCTCATAGCTCACAAGGAAAGGGGCCTCCTCCTTTCCATGAGTTCTCACCCTCCCTCCCTGCCTGTGCAACTTCTGTGTTGGGATCTATGCTCAGGAGGGCCTGCGGGCTGACCCAGTGTCCCCTCTGCGCCCCCAGATGCTGGCCAAACACGTCATCACTCTGCACGTGAGTGCACTGACCCAGACCCAGGCCGTGGAGGGTGAGGTCGACCTGGCCAAGCTGAAGAAGTTCATTGCCTACTGCCGAGCGTGAGTCCTGGACGCGGGCCCCGCGGGAGTGGGGTGGCCCAGCTCTCCTGGGGGAGAGAACCCTGAAGCCTGGGCCTGCCTCTCACACAGGGTGCCTGAGATGAGGCCCTGCTTACAGTTTCAGCTCGGCTCCTTTGTGACCTTGCACAGGTTGCTCTGTGGCTCTTGGGCTCCGTTTCCCCATTTGCTAAAACAAGGGTGTGGGAACTAGAAGGTCTCGCCGACCCCTGGGACTCTCCCATGCAGGGAGGCACTGCAGTGCGGACAGTGTGGCTGCGGGCTCTGGGTAGCGTCCGCCCCCACTACTGTGTGACCTGGGCCAAGTCGGGTGACCCCTGAGCCTCGCTTTCCCTGGACTGGTGTGGCCTGGGGTTTTCCTGAGGACTGCACAGAGATTGAGAGCTTGGCAGAACCCTGCACGGAGGAAACATTCAGGAAATGGCAGCTGCGACTTCTAGTCTTTTTTGTGTGTGTGAGTGCGACTCCTAGTCTTGTTTCGCTCACACATTGCCTATAACAGTAACCATGCGTATGGTCACCGTTCTGTGCCAGGCATTCCTCTGAGTGTTTCACGTGTAACTGAGCTTTCGCCCTGTCCCGAAGCCTTTGAGGGTCCTGTAGTGAGCCATTCTACAGGTGGGGCTGAGGCAGAGAAGTGGAGGGAAAGAAAGGTTAAGTGACTCGTCCAAGGTCCTAAGTGGGAGGGAGCAGAGCCAGGATTTGAACCCAGGGACCCGGCCCCAGAGGCCGCGCTGTTAGCCCCAGCGCCGAGAGCCTGCACGCGCCCTCAGCTGTCTCTTGTTGGAGGTGGACACTGAGGGCAGGGAATCTTTGAGAACCCCCCCAGTGGGAAGTGAGGCGCTGTATTCAGGTGGGTCCTGAACTCACCCCCTCCTTTGGGGTCCCGAGCAGTGCGCTGCCCAGCAGTCCTGGGTCCTTGTCCTGGTTCTGAATCTTTAGGGCTCTGTCCTCAGGGGCTTGGCCCCAGCTGTGTCTCGCCCCACCTTGATGCCAGGTCCTGGGCGGCCTTGGGAAGTTGACTCCCTTCTTCCGGCCTCTGTCTTCTCATCCTCAGGATGAGGGTGGGACTAGGTGATCTCAACATTCCCCTTAATGAGTGACTGTCACTGGCTGGGGGATGCGGTGGGTGCCCCCAGATTCCTTCCTGGCCTCATGACAGCTGCCCCCCACCGTCCTGCAGGAAGTGTGGCCCCCGGCTGTCGGCAGAGGCTGCAGAGAAACTGAAGAACCGGTACATCATCATGCGAAGCGGAGCCCGTCAGCATGAGCGGGACATCGACCGCCGCTCCAACATCCCCATCACCGTGCGGTGAGCAGGCGCAGGAGGGCCGGACCCAGGCGGGCTGGATGGGCCTCAGTTTACAAAGCAGGGTGTGCCTAGCAAGCCCTGGGCCAGGCTCCCTTGCTGACCACAGTGTAGGCCCGTAGTATGGGCTGTTGGCCAGGGAGGCTTTTGGGAGTTTATATACAGTGGCCTCTCTGATTATATGTACGTCTTGGCTTGTTTTAAGGTTGAGAAAACCTGGAACCCTGTTTTGTGACTTTTGTCTGGCTTCCCTCATTGCAGGGAAGCCTGAGGGTGAGGGAAGGGTCCAGTCATGGGAGTTACGAGACCTGGCTCCTAGACTCTGGCCTGTTGTGTGACAGCAGGGAAATTGCTTCCTTCTCGGGACCTGCTTTCATAGTTCTTAAACTCCTCTTCTTGTGAGTTTATACAGTAGAGTATAGCGATTAGGAGCTTGGACCTACCTGGGCTGCATCCTGCTGCCAGCGCTGATGAGTTAGAAGTGAGTTTGGCTGTATGTAATGGAAAACCCAAATAAAGAAGAGTAAACAAATTGGAAGTTTCTTTCTCTCTTAGGGAATCTTCGAGGGTGGGTGGTCCAGGACTGGTGTGATGGCTCCTCAGAGTCATTGGCAACTCGGGCTCGTCCTCATAGTCCAAGATGGCTGCTGGAACGTCAGCCCTCACCTCTGTATTCCAGGTGACAGGAGAGGAAGGAGAAGAAGGGCCTATCTTTTCAGGACATTTCCTGAAATCCCCACAAAATGTTTGAACTTAGAACTTCTCAGCCACACCTTAGTCACATAGACGCACCTGGATGTAGGAGAGGCTGGGAAGTGTGTTATAGCTGGGTGCCACATGCTGGAGTCAAAGTCGGTTCCATTACTGAAGAGGAAAGGGAGACAGGTCATGGGGACCGCAGGCAGTCTCCTGGTGGCCTTCCTACGTTGGGCAGGCACCTCCCTGACAGTAGCGCGGGTCGGGGGCGGGGAGTGAGCTGAGGCCACCCCGTCGCTCCCGTGCAGGCAGCTGGAGGCCGTCGTGCGCATCGCGGAGGCCCTCAGCAAGATGAAGCTGCAGCCTTTCGCCACGGAGGCCGACGTGGAAGAGGCTCTGCGGCTCTTCCAGGTGTCCACGCTGGATGCTGCCATGTCCGGCACTCTGTCAGGTGAGCAGACGCGGGGGCACGGGCCGAGGGTCCCGGCTCGGGGTCCCGGGGGGCCGGGTGGCATCCTGGGGGCCTGGAGCATTGGTTGCTCCTGTGCGGTTGCCCAGCGTCTCTGAGCTTCCTCTTGGCGGTCAGCCACCCTTCCCCGGTCTGCCCCCAGCCGTTTTCCTCCCAGATGAGAAGCAGCAGCTTCTCTTCCAGACCCTTGAACACAACCGTCTGGACCCCGTTAATCGTTAAGGTTTGTAATTTTGTCATTGTCTGAGAACGCTAGCACTCTGCTTGTGACCTCATAACCATTTTGAGCGCTTCCAAAGCTCTTTCCCTCATTTGACTTCCAGCTGCCTTCCAGAAGCCAGCTGGGCACTTAGAAATAAGATGGACACTCAGAGGCCTTTTTGTGGTGCCAGGATGGCCGTTTGCTTAGCTAGAATGCAGCTCTCTCGACCCGTAGGCCAGTGTCGGTCAAACTGCTGTCAGTCCCGCTACCTGCTTCAGGCTCAGCCTTCCAACAGATTTTTCTGGAGCACTGACTGTGTGCCAGGCTCTCCTGGGATAGATCCATTCCTTCACCCGGTGGGGTGTGGTATTTGCCAGACGCTGTTCCAGGTGTTGGGGTGTAAGAGGGAATAGATCTCCAAGTCCCTGCCTTGTGGGCCTCTCATTCTAAGTGGGGGGAGAGAGAGCAAAGGCAGATTGATCAGGTTCAGGCAGTCAAAAGTTCGGGGGGCGGATTCTGGCAGGCCAGGTGTGTTGGAGGAGGATTGGATGCCTCCGCATCAGGGGGTTGGTCAGGACGGCCTCACTGCGGAGGGGACATAGAGACAGTGGTGTGAAATGAGGACATAAGGCTCTGTGTGTGGGGGGGGTGGGTGGGGGATGTAGAGAACCTTCTAGGTAGAGGGAAGGCTCAGTGCCATGCCTCCAAGGAGGGGGCAGTCTTGGCAGGTTCGAGGGCCAGTGTGGCTGGTACCTTGGGTGGTGAGAGGGATCACTCCCACCCTCCCCTTGGCGAAGATTGTCTCTGCCCAAGAGGGGATTTCTGTCCTGTGAGACATTTGCCAATGGAGAGCTCTCTGGGATGCTGATGCATGGAGGTCAGGTGTGATTTGGGACAGTGGAATTTGAGTTGGGCCTTGTAGGCTGTGTAGGAGTTTGCCTTGCAGACCCCTTTCAACCTGGAGCCTTGAAGTCCGTCCTAGTGGCTTCACTGACTATGCCCCACCCTCTCCTTAGCTGAAACCCCAAGGTATCTATCTGTAGGCCTTGGTCACCCTGCATCAGTAGTTGGAAGTCAGGAGCCTCCTGCTGGCCCGGGCTCCCTGGGGCGCCTTGCCTCCCTCCTGTGTCACAGGGGGCTTCAGCTGTCTGAGATCTGCTTCTCCTGGAACTTTGTCCCTGCTGCCTGACCGGCCAGAGACATGTGTTCCCACAAGTCAGCTCCTGTCCCTCCTCAGAGCCCTCTACTGGCTGCTCCCCCAGAATCAAAGCAAAACCCGTGCCATGGCCTAGGGGTCCCCAGGAGCTGACCCCTGACCCCTGGTCTGGCCACGTCCCTAGCCCCTGGACTGGGTTTTGAACGAAGTCAGGTTTCTGCCTCCCTGCCTTTGCACCTGCCTTTCCCTCTGCCTAGAGCATCCTTTCGCACAGGTGTGCCTCGTCCCCTGGCTTCAGGGCTCTGCTGAGCCATCTGCTCAGGCCTGTGCTATCCCCCACATGTTCCCCTTCTTTGAGCTGTTTCTTCTTCTTTTTTTTTTTTAAGTTTTTCTTCTGAGTCCTCTTTCTTGGCTCAGGGGCCTTGTCTCTGCAGGCCTCTGCCCCACCACGGGCAGACTGAGATCTGTGGCACCCCGTTCCCACCCAGCTGTCTCTCTCTGCCCGCAGGGGTGGAGGGCTTTACCAGCCAGGAGGACCAGGAGCTGCTGAGCCGCATCGAGAAGCAGCTTAAGCGCCGCTTTGCCATCGGCTCCCAGGTGTCCGAGCACAGCATCATCCAGGACTTCACCAAGCAGGTAGGCCTTCCCTGGGGCCTGGAAGCGGGGCCGGGGGGCGTCTCCTGCTTACTTCCGTAGCCTGCTTCCCACCTCCCCAGCAGCCGTGTCCTGTGGCTCAACAGACAGGCCTGGGATGGGGACAGGGCAGCTGTTTCTTGTCCTGGACCTGTTCCTGTCATTCGTTCCCTAGGGACTGCTTCAGTCTGGGGAGGGGGCACTTATCTGTCCCATTAGGGGAGAGGACAGGGGGCTGGCGTTCTGGTAGAACCACAGTCAGGCTCCCCGAGCCCTTCCCATCGATTCCTTCCCCCCACTGCCTGGCTTTTATGGGGCTGGGGGCGGGGGCAGAGCCAGGAGAGTGAGCCGTCCAGCTCCTGGAGGACAATGCTCTTGACCCCAGAGAGAGAGGAGTGGGGCTTTCTAGATGCTGTGGAGAACTGCTTCTGTCTTTAAAAGCACAGGAACAGTCCACCAGTTTCTGGTTTCAGTTCCTCTTCATGTACGTCATCTTGCTTCAGTCTTTAGAGCACTTTTGGGCAGTAGGTGGGACTACGCCCATTCTGTAGGCGAGCAGACCGAGGCTTAGAGAAGTGTAGGGTGTCAGGAGCTTGGGTTCTGGAGTCAGGTGGACTCCGTTGAAGTCCCAGCTCTGCCACTTAATTGCTGTGTGACTTTGAGCAAGTGACTTCGCCTCTCTGCGCCTCAGCTCCTCCCCTGTAACATGGGAGTAATCAGCGGACTAGCCGCACAGGGAGGGAGTGAGTTGATGTACAGAACAGTGCCTGGTATGTTGTAGGTGCTAAGGACGTGGGAGCTCTTCTTAGGAAGGACGGAGACGGGTGTGAAGGCCTTTCCTAAACCAGAACGTTCTCTGGGAGCAGGGAGGATAGGAGCGCGCAGAGGGTGAGCCAGTGGGGTGTTCTGGGGTCCCCTCGGGAGGCACGCTCCCGCATCTGGCCTTGTGTCCGTAGAAATACCCGGAGCATGCCATCCACAAGGTCCTGCAGCTCATGCTACGACGGGGCGAGATCCAGCATCGTATGCAGCGCAAGGTCCTCTACCGCCTCAAGTGAGCCCCCGTGGCCCCACGGACTTGCCCAGGCCTCCTGCGCGTCACCCCCCCACCCCCCGGGGAGCCTCCCCGCCCCCCACCGCCTCAAGTGAGCCCCCGTGGCCCCACGGACTTGCCCAGGCCTCCTGCGCGTCACCCCCCCCACCCCCCGGGGAGCCTCCCCCACCCCCCACCGCCTCAAGTGAGCCCCCGTGGCCCCACGGACTTGCCCAGGCCTCCTGCGCGTCACCCCCCCACCCCCCGGGGAGCCTCCCCGCCCCCCACCGCCTCAAGTGAGCCCCCGTGGCCCCACGGACTTGCCCAGGCCTCCTGCGCGTCACCCCCCCACCCCCCGGGGAGCCTCCCCGCCCCCCACCGCCTCAAGTGAGCCCCCGTGGCCCCACGGACTTGCCCAGGCCTCCTGCGCGTCACCCCCCCCACCCCCCGGGGAGCCTCCCCCACCCCCCACCGCCTCAAGTGAGCCCCCGTGGCCCCACGGACTTGCCCAGGCCTCCTGCGCGTCACCCCCCCCACCCCCCGGGGAGCCTCCCCGCCCCCCACCGCCTCAAGTGAGCCCCCGTGGCCCCACGGACTTGCCCAGGCCTCCTGCGCGTCACCCCCCCCACCCCCCGGGGAGCCTCCCCCACCCCCCACCGCCTCAAGTGAGCCCCCGTGGCCCCACGGACTTGCCCAGGCCTCCTGCGCGTCACCCCCCCACCCCCCGGGGAGCCTCCCCGCCCCCCACCGCCTCAAGTGAGCCCCCGTGGCCCCACGGACTTGCCCAGGCCTCCTGCGCGTCACCCCCCCCACCCCCCGGGGAGCCTCCCCCACCCCCCACCGCCTCAAGTGAGCCCCCGTGGCCCCACGGACTTGCCCAGGCCTCCTGCGCGTCACCCCCCCACCCCCCGGGGAGCCTCCCCCCCCCCCCACCGCCTCAAGTGAGCCCCCGTGGCCCCACGGACTTGCCCAGGCCTCCTGCGCGTCACCCCCCCACCCCCCGGGGAGCCTCCCCCCCCCCCCACCGCCTCAAGTGAGCCCCCGTGGCCCCACGGACTTGCCCAGGCCTCCTGCGCGTCACCCCCCCCACCCCCCGGGGAGCCTCCCCGCCCCCCACCGCCTCAAGTGAGCCCCCGTGGCCCCACGGACTTGCCCAGGCCTCCTGCGCGTCACCCCCCCACCCCCCGGGGAGCCTCCCCGCCCCCCACCGCCTCAAGTGAGCCCCCGTGGCCCCACGGACTTGCCCAGGCCTCCTGCGCGTCACCCCCCCACCCCCCGGGGAGCCTCCCCGCCCCCCACCGCCTCAAGTGAGCCCCCGTGGCCCCACGGACTTGCCCAGGCCTCCTGCGCGTCACCCCCCCACCCCCCGGGGAGCCTCCCCGCCCCCCACCGCCTCAAGTGAGCCCCCGTGGCCCCACGGACTTGCCCAGGCCTCCTGCGCGTCACCCCCCCCACCCCCCGGGGAGCCTCCCCCCCCCCCACCGCCTCAAGTGAGCCCCCGTGGCCCCACAGACTTGCCCAGGCCTCCTGCGCGTCACCCCCCCCACCCCCCCGGGGACGTCGCTGTCCTCGCCACCGGCGTCTTGAACTGCCCCCTGCGCTCCACCCCCCCCCAGTGCAGGGGGCCCCAGCTGCCCCCCAGGAAGGCGCTTTCTGCCTGCCTCGCTGCCTCTGGGCATCTGCTCCTGGCGCAGGGCCAGGAGATGTGCTTTGGAAGACTGTGGAACTAATAAAGCCGTGGTGTGTGTGCACGCTGTGGGCTCTGCGCTGGGGAGCCTGTGGCTGCCCCCGTCTTGCCGTCCCCGCAGAGCAGGTGTGGGCGAAGGACCAGCCCTGCAGCCGGCCTGAACGGGCTTTTGACCTGCGTCTGCCACTCGGGCTCTTGGGTGAGGCTTTTACGTTCTGGGCTCCGCGTTCTTGAACCGGTCTGTGGGGCCGGTGCGGCCAGTTTCTGGCCTCCGGCCGTGGCAACATTACCAGCGGGCCCAGCCCATGTGCACGTGCCCCGGAGAGCGCGGAGGGCTGGCGGCCCCCGCTGTGCCTCAGCGGCCTGGGGGGGAGGTGGGGCACGTGGATTTGCCTCCAACTGGCCGAGTCACCAGACCTTCCTGTGCCTCAGTGTCCTGATCCGTGAAGGGATGCCGCCCCTGCTTTGCAGGGTTGTGTTTAGGGTGAGTGGCAGCAAAGTGCCCAGGAAGGGACGGGGCAGTGTGGTGAGACTCCAGTGGCCTTTGGGATTTGGGGACATGCATTCCCCCTAGGCCTTAGAGCAAAGTCAGTAAGAGTGAAGGTTCTGGGATTCTGTGGACCGGTTTTCTTCCCGTTGGGCTACCCACAGCTCTGTGGCCTTGGTTCTGGCACTCGACTTCTCTGGGCCTGAGGATATGCCTTAATTTGTTTTGCCATTTCCTTTTTTTTTTTTGGTCTTGTTAACATCGGTCACCACAGTTGTTTTTTTTCTCTTGTGATGGGAACTTTTAAATCTCTCAGCAACTTTCCAATGTTCAGTACAGTATTATGAACCAAAGTCACCACGTGGGGTGTTTCATCCCCACGGCTGACGTATTTTATAGCAAGTGTGCACCTTTTGACCCCCTTCACCCATTTTGCCCACTCCCCACCCCCACCTCTGGCAACCACCCATGTGTTGTCTGTGTCTGTTGAGGGGTTTTTCTCTCTTTTTTTTTAAGATTCCATATGTAAGTGAGATCATACGATATTTTTCTTTCTCTGACGTATATCATCTTTTTTAAAGATTTTTTATTCATTTGAGAGAATGAGTGAGAGCACAAACAGTGGGGGAAGGTCAGAGCAAGAGAGAGAAGCAGACTCCCCACTGAGCAGGGAGGCTGACTCGGGACTCAATCCCAGGACCCCCAGGACCCCCAGGACCCTGGGATCATGACCTGAGCCAGAGGTCTGGCTGACCGACTGACGCCTTCTGACGTATTTCAGTCCGCATGGTGTCCTCCAGTTTTATCCGAGTTGTAAATGGCAGGATTTCCTTTTCTATAACTGGATAATATTTGTGTGTGTGTGTGTGTGTCTGTGTTGCTCAGTTTCTTCATTTATTGGTCAGGGATGCTTAGGTGGATTCCGTGTCTTGGCTGTTACAAATAATGTTGCAGTGAACTTGCTAGTGCCTTGTTTCTTTTCAAAGTAGTGTTCTCATTTTCTGTGCGGAAATACCATGATACCTAGAAGTGGGGTTGCCGGATCACATGGTAGTTGTAGTTTTAGTTAATCGAGGCCCCTCCATGCCGTTTTCCCCAGTGGTTGCACCAGCTTACACTCCCACCAACACGGCACGAGGCTCCCTTTTGTCCCTGTCCCCGCCGATACCTGTTCTTGTCTTTTTGATACTAGCTGTTCTGACGGATGGTAGCTCGTGGTAGCTTTGATTTGCGTTTCTCTGGTGGTGAGTGGTGGTGAGCAGCTTCTCATGTGTCTGTCGGCTGACTGCAGACCTCTGGAGAAATGTCGCTTCTGATCCTCTGCTCATATTTTAATTGTATTGTCTCGCGGCTCAGTTAAATGAGTTCATTTATTTTGGATATTAGCCCCTTGTTAGTATGTGGTTTGCGAGTACTTTGTTCCCTTCCGTGGGCTGGCTTTCATTTTGTTGATGCTTCCCTTCTCTGTGCGGACGCTTTTTATTTTGAGGTCGTCCCTTCACTTGTTTGTTTTCCTTGTTGGCCTTTGGTGTCAGATTCAAAAAGTCATTGCCCAGACCTATGTCAAGGAGCTTTCCCCGTTTTCTTCTAGGAGTTTTATGGTTGCAGGTCTTACGTTCGTCTCTAATCCATTTTGAGTTTTTGTGTACGGTGTGAGTTTCTCTTTTCTTCATGTGGCTCTCCAGCTTTTCAGCACCACTTACTGGAGAGATTGTCCTGTCTCCAGTGTATATTTTCATGTCCCGGGTTGTAAATTAATCGATCGTATGTGCATGGGTCTATTTCTGGGCTCTGTCCCATTGATCTGTGGGCGCCTGAGTTTATCATCAGTAAGCCGGAAGTCGTGGCATTCAGCACCATAGGTCACGAGGTTCAAGTGGTAGAAAGCACTAGTAACGTATTGGAGAAAATCCATAGTATTAGTTTTTTGTCATGGTTTTGTCTACTATTTTTTAAAAAAATTTTTAATTTTTATTTGAGAGAGAGAGCAGAGCAAGTGAGAACGAGTGGGGGGAGGGGCAAAGGGAGAGGGAGACGCAGGCCCCCCTGAGCAGGGCTCGATCCCAGGACCCTGGGACCATGACCCTAGCCAAAGGCAGAGGCTTAACTGACTGAGCCACCCAGGTATCCCTATTTTGCCTAATATGATATACCAATGTGAAGGTAGAATTCATAAAATTAAAGGAAAGTCAGTGAAATAAAATACTTGATATTTAAGGTGCATTTAGAAATACAGAACCTCAGGCAAAACATGAGCATCCCGACAAGTGTATTAAACATTTTATTCTAATAAACTATGAGCACAGTGTTTATAAATAACCACCATGTAAAAACGAAGCCAGCCACGACCTCGGCGTGAGATTGTGTGATCTTCCTCCAAACACAGGCAGGAAACCCGGATGCCCGAGTACGGTCCCTGTTGTCACGACAGTGTGCGTGCGTGGCCGTTTACAGCTGCCTCAAGCTCTTTCCGACTCCCCGGTGCCAGGAAATGCAGAGACGAGAGGAGCTCAGTTAGTTTTCCTCCGATGTGCTCATGCTCAAAGGCCTTTCTTCTTTGGTAATTTGGAGAACTTTCGAGCAGCTCTTTGTTGCCTTGTTGGGGTGCCCGTCTTCCTGAGAGCATTGTGCGCGCTTCCGGACCCTCTGCACCTTTCATCTTGTGCAGGTGGAGACCCTGGCTTTCCATTCCTCTGTACGGGGGCTGCCGGAAGGAGAGTCAGCTCTACCCCCGCAGCCGGCGCGTGCGTTTCTGGGAGGTGGAGAGGGATCTTTCTCCAGGGAGTGTGTTCACCTGGGGTCTTACCTGTGATGGTTGGTGCCCCACCTGCGGAGACTGCAAAATGGTGGCTCGGTCAACCCATGTTTGTCAGCTGGGATGCACTTAACCCTCTAGCAGTCGTGGATGTGGGTCCTGTGGTCACCTCCATTTTACAGATGGGGACACTGAGGCTCAGAGAGGCACGTGTCACAGTGCGTGGAGGGCAGGGGCCGGGTTCAACCCCGGGTGTGCTCTGAACCCCCGTGCCACTCTGCCGCATGCACCACGCCCTCACCGGGCAGGCGCTGTGCCCAGGCTGAGCGGGGTGCTGGTGTAGACATGGGTCTGGCCTGGGAGGAGGTGCTGGTCCAGTGGGAAGACCGCCCTGGCAGAGTCCCCATCCCCTGGGTAGCTGGCCCTGTTGGCAGGCCCTGTGTGGAGGGACCAGAGGGGGCAATGGCTTGGCTGTGACCCAGGTGGCCGCTGTGCTCAGGCAGGTGCGCGCGGAGGGAGCTGCAGGGCCTGGCGCCCCGAGAACACTCAGGCCTCTGAGGAGCCCCCTGAACCTCCACAAAGACCGAGCGAGGAGCAAGAGGGGGGCAGCCCGGCCTCTTCCGTGGCTTTTTCTGTGGCAGTGGGAGGCTGCACAACTGCCCAGGAAGGAGCATCCAGGCTGGGAGTCAGGGCGGGCCGGGGCTGGTCTTCATGAGCTCCGAGGAGAAGGCTCCTAGGCCGGGCGGGGGTTCAGCTCCCAGCTGCTGTGGGGGTGGGCCGCCCCGCGGCCCTCTGCACGCGGCTCTGTGGACACGGGCCTCTGCGGGGCAAGCGGCTTCATCTCCCTGTTTGGCCTCCCTTTTCTCATTGTGGAAAGGGGGTGCCAATAGTTCCCCCCCGCCGCCCCGGGAGGGCTCAAGGGTTAGTGGAGACGGTAGATGTCGGGTCAGCCCCTTCAGCCCCGGGCACAGAGCCACTCCTAGGAAGGCCGAGCTTGTCTCCCCCTGCATGCTCGCTGTTCACCTTTCCTGCCCAGGTGACTCCGGGCCTCTCTGGGCGCCCCTGCCCCCTACCCCACCCCTGGCTTCTGTGGCCCTCGTACCTCCTCTTCCCACTAAGGGGGGCTACCCTGTCCCCCATCTCCGTGAGGGGAGACCAGATGAACTTGCTCCTCAGCTCTTCTGCCTGTTGGTTTGGACACTTACACGTTTTCATTGTCCTCAGGCGTGTGTGGTTGAGTTTCTATCCACAGTGGGCGGGGGGCTCCGACGGGAGGCCAAGCAGCCCGCCCGGCTCGGGGGACCCGCGGTAACTGAAGGGCACCTTCACTAGGCCCGTGCCTTTGCGCCCCCAGGTCAGAAGTCTTACGGAACCGATGTATTTAAAAACCCAGTATGAGGAAGTGTTGTGAGGATGTTGCCAGTTTGGGTTTTTATTCATTGGAAACAAAGATGGCCCACACTTGAAGTGGTTTATTTCAGACAAGGGCTTGTGGGGAGCTGCCCAAAGCCCGTTCTCTTGTGTGGAAGAAACAAAACCACAAAAAACCCTGCATTTAAAAAATGCAGAAGATGAGCACTCCAAATGTCAGCTCAGGAAAGAAGCAGCTTTTATATTTTTGGGTGTCGTAACAACTATTTTTCATATATATTTGAGCACGAGTATAAATGTTGTAGATTCATTTGACAGCGACCGATGCAGACAGAAGCTTCAAGTGTAGAAGAGCAGAGGTAGACGTTTGTTTTGCAGCTGTATGGTGAGACCAAAGGGTGCCTTGTGATGGTTTCGACTACACCTTTTGGCAATGTGCAGCTCAGAAATA